GGTCCCCTCAGAGCCCTGGCCGTCTGCCCGAGGTCTGCGGCGTCTCCTGCGGGGGCCCTGAGCCCATCATTGTGGTCTGCGCTTTCGTGAGGGTCTGGGCCATGAAGGAGTCTGTGGGGACCGTGCAGATTCGAAAAGGTGTGGAATAAAACTGGCTATTTTCTGAAGGGAGAGCGAGTCCTTAGGTCATTAGCATCGCCCTGGACGCTGGTGTCTGGAGCCGTGAGGAAGGCTGCTCTCAGCCTCTGAGGCTTTCAGCTTTAGCCGGATGGTGCCACACGGCTGTCTTCTTGTCTTCTGTGCTTTCTCATGAGCCGTCATCCTGCAGAGTCTCTCGGCTCGGCGCCCCTGCTGGAGCCCGGCGCCGCCCCCCCACGGCCTCAGAGCTGGGCCTGTAGGGAGGGTGGTGGGGCAGGGGCCCTGGGCCCAGGAGGGCAGCAGGGCTTGGGGAAGTGGGGCTCCGGCTGGGAGGGCTTCACTTTCCCACCTCCCGGCTCAACCCTTGCTTCCCAAGCACGAGTGACACAGGTGTATGCAGAGTAAGTGGAGCAAAGACCATTGAAATGGCTTTTTAAGTAAACCCAGTCGGGGTCACTTGCAGCGCGTGTATGTGGAGCCAGCGCTGAGTGAGGGACGCCGGTCCTTTACCGAGACAAGGAGAATCGGGGGGTAAACTGCAATTTCTCTAATTGGAGATGATGGCAACTGTGTGGGTTGCTGGAAAGTTCTCCCGTCCAGGAAGCTGCACATGATCTGGTGGCTCAATCGAATTTGATCGTGCTGGAGCGTCAGGGCAGGAGGGCTCAGGGTCCTTGGGAGCTGGAGAACTCTGTGGCTGCAAGGACAGCCCTCTGCCTCTCCTGCCACGGCTCCAAAAGATTATTCGAGAAACACTGCAGAAATTTGGCTGCCAGCAATCAGATGTCACACCATGTAGGATTTCTCATTGAGGATGATTTTAAAGAGGATTTTGTGCTCAATGACTATTTCTTTTGGTGCTGAGCAGCGTGGAAAAAGCTTCGGGGCAAGTAGACCCCAGGGCCGACGAGCTTGGGCAGAGCCCGTCTTGGGGTCTGAGGGTTTAGTTCCTTGGGGGCCTAGGCCAACTGTGTGTGCCAACTCATCCTTCTCGTTCCTCTTGAAAAGCTTTCATTTGGTGTGTTCGTTGACTTCGACATTTTTAGGTGCACAAACAACAGTGTCTTTTATTAGGTGGATGTCAGTGCATTGTAGTTGAAATGTTTCCACAAATTAAAATCCTTCTTGGTGGCATGAAAGATGGTTTCCAGATACCTTTTGCAGGAAGGCGTTAGGTCTGAGCATGTCACAGACGCATGGTGCCCTGTACTTGAGGATGGGCTCACGTTTCATTTTGGTGTCATCATTCTGAGATGCGTGGGAAGACTTCGTGAGCCCTGGGGATGGGTGGGGGCCGTGGACTGGGTGCAGAGTTAGAAGGGCAGGGAGGTGGGACGTTGGCTCTGTGTCTGATGGACCACGGACCTGGGTGGATGATTTTCGCCCCCCAGAGCTCCGTTTCCTCTCAGGGAAGGCCGACATTCACCCAGGACAGAATGAGCTCATCCGTGTCAAGTTGTGGAGCCTCCTGTGGTTTCAGGTGAATGCCGTGTGCCCCAGGCTGCAGCTGCCGAGCATGTGCTGAGTCTGCAGGGAACAGGTTTCCAAGGGAGCTCCTCGCTCCAGCTCCAGGGTGCTCAGGGACAACGGGGGAGGCTCTGAGACATGAGGCTCCCTGAGTGGCCTGGACGTGGGCGTGGCTGCACGGTGGGCCTGCTGCTCTGTCTGGGTTGCCCATGGCATTGGGAAAAGCCAGCCCAGGCCGGGGAGGGGGTTGGCGATGACACAGTGGCACAAGGGTCCACTGTCTAGGAGACGGGAGCTTGCTACCACCCGTGGAGCCGGGGGCTCCAAGATGGTCCCGTCCTTGAAATGCTGTGGTCTGTGATTCAGGCGTGGCTGCCCCCGGGCAGGTGCTCCATGTGTCTGTAAGAGATGGGTAGTAAGAGATGGGTGGAGGCGAGGATAATCCCATTTGCAGAGTCCCTGCAAGCTCCTGACTGTGATGGCCCTAGGCACCGTGTTTCATTAGGTGGGAATAAATGCAGTGACGTTCTGTTACTGCCGTGGCCCACAGCTGCCTTGGTGGGGGGAAGAAGCTCTAGCAGGTGTACTGGTCAGAGCGAGGAGCACGGGAGCCCCGTGCACTTGATCCCAGCCCCACGGCGCTAACTGTTACAAAGTGTACGCTCCTCACACAGGAAGTGTTGAGGACTTGCAGGCCGCACAAGCGCGCGTTGGGTGAGGTGGGTGATAATAGCGAGCGCTGATTGTCCTCCGAGCATTGGACAGGACACTGCGGAATGGTTACAGTATCCCCGTGTTGTGAGGGAAGCTGACCTTTCACACTCAGAACAAAAGCACAGGTCCCGCTGAGTGCGCCTTGCCCTCTTTTGGGGTTCGAGCTCCCCCAGTTTAAGCACGTCAAGATAGCCTATCCTCTCTTATCATCTGGGCCATTTTTGGACTCTTCCCTTGAACAAGAAATGCAAACAGGTCTGAAGGCTAAGTCAGCATAAATGTAAGTGATTGAGATGGGATATGACCACGGGCATGGTTGCACCTACAGGCTGCGTTCCTCATTGTGCTGTCGCAGCCTTTTCCTCCGTTGGAGCAGGTGTGGTTGGCGAGAGGAAGCTGCTCCAAACTGCTGAGATGCATGCCCCGACCTGGTCTGACTTCAGCTCAGGGAGCTGACCCCAGCACACCCATGGACTCCAGAGACAGTCAATGGAATGCATGCCATTATGGGCGGAGGGCTTTTCTTGATGATTTGTCTTGATGGACTCACTGGAAAACCCACTGAGGTGCAGTTGAGGGTATTTCAGATAGTAAAGTGACCAGATGCATTTGTTTCAGATACGTTTTCCTACCTACACCACTCCCTTCACAACAACAACAGCAAAGCCAGTGTGGTAGGGACAGCTACCAATTTTGGTTGTTTGATACCCCATGCCAGGCACGGTGTCAAGCATTCCATAGAAGCTGTATGGAGTATCAGAGTTCGGGAGGTGAGAAAGGCACCTAAGGCCATGTCCCTGTGCAGGCTCAGAATTCAGTCCCAGGTCTATCAGATGTAAGCCTGTGCTCTTGACCTTTGTGCTATGACGCCTCTTTCAAAGCTGGGGTGGGACGGAGAAGCTCTGTCCGCATGGAGCTTTGTGAGATGTGGCATCCAGAGAAGCTCTGTCTCCACGGAGTTCCATGAGATGCGGCGTTTGGAGAAGCTCGTTCTGTTGCATACTTAGCATCAGATTGATGCTAGCTATAAAACACGTGCTGGACCCTCAGTGCATATGAGGTGGTTGCTTGACTACTTGATTTTTAGGAGGAAAAATTGGTATTAGTGTGGCAAAGTATAAAAGGCCCAGAAGTAGAGGTCTGATGGCCTCTGGGTGGACCAGCCCTTTCTACATGTTTTTAGGGAAATCCTTTCTCCTTCCTGGCATCTGTCCCCACCCCCCAGTACAATAGGGGTTTGGATAATCCCTAAGGATCTCTTCCGGGCTTCTGTAATTCTGTTCTTCTAGGAAATCACGGTCTGCAGGAAATTGGCCATGAGGAGTCTGCTTGGAGGACGTTCTGTATTTGGGTGGCTTCCTAACGCACGCTCCAAGGGCTGAACGGTGGGGTGGTGGAGGGAGCAGGTGCGGGCTCTCCCACCTCAAGGCGGCACCTGCTGCTTGTCCACTGCCGGGCTGTGTCCCTCTTGTCCCTGGAGCTGGGCCTTGGGGACTTGCCTTAGAGTTCCTTCTTTGGATTTGGGCAGATTATTCTAATTTAAACACCAAGGACAAAAGTGGAGCTCAGATTTGGAATTCCTTTGGTCCTTTATTTCGGAAGTTAGTGCTCACCGAGATTTAGGAATACTGTCTATGTTACATTTTAAAGAGAATTGAGTAAGCCCTAAGTTGGCGCTGTATTTATTTTGAGTGAGCATAGGCTGCAAACGGCCCGGACTCCAGTGCCCGCCCTACTTCAGTTCTCAGACTCCACACCACAGTATGGCTCTCAGTCGTTCCTCGTTTCCAGAGGATTTAACCAAAATGTGCTCGCTTGTCCACATCCCCCCGGCTTTCTCGCTGGCCCCAGCCCTGCTCCCTGCGCCCACCCCTGCTGTGAGAGTCTACATGTAACTGGTGAGATGCGATTTTAGAAGAATGGGTCTAGACAGTGTCCTGGAGACGAGTTCCCTTTCCAGGTACCCTTTCGAGCAGTGAAGACCCCCGGCTCCCGGGGCAGACGCTGAAAGCCCCCGTGTGTGGTTGCCGTCTTTCCAGTACGATCTCTTGTTTTGTCTCTTCAAGCTTCCTGAGATCTCGTGTTTTCCTGCCTCCTACCTTTGCTCATGGGATGCCCTGCCCCCCCGCCCCATCTCCACCTGTCAGTGTGTCCATGGTCAAGGCTCTTCTCAAGCGTCACCTCCTCAGGGGCCCTCATTGGCTGCCCTCTGTCCTGTTATGTGTGTTCCCTCCTCATTTCCCAGAGCAGTTGGGATCTCTTTCTGCTCTTATCTTGCGTTCTAAGTATTTGTTTACTTCTCTAATCTGTGTTTTATTTTTATCCTTATCACTCACATTGCTTTTCATGTTGCCTTGAACAAGCTGGGTATTCTATAAATATTTGTTGAGCTCACAATTAAAAGAAACATAGTCTAGTCTTCTGATTTTCGTAGGAGCAAACCAAACACCATATCTGGTCCTAGGGAACTTACTAGGAATCCAGATTCATAGCCTGAGATTATTTTCACTTATATAATGTTTCTTCCCTCCCCTGTCCCCTGAAAGAGTGTTACTAATTGAACTTGATTTTCCCCTTTGGAACAATGGCAATGCTGGTGTAAAAATTGCAAGAGCAGGACTGCATTTGAGAAGGAGCTCAGCACTATTTGACATACTCTTTGTTCGTAGGTGCACACCAAGATGTCGCTTGTCACAGTGCCCTTTTACCAAAAGCGACACAAACACTTTGACCAGTCGTACCGCAATGTTCAGACAAGGTACCTTTTGGATGAATATGCTGCGAAAAAGTAAGTTGGAATTCAGCAATTGGACCAGTAGAGCTTTGACCGTGGGTGTCTGGTGTTACAGGAGCTTTATCTAGTCCCCTGCACCCTGGACATGAACTGGTTTGGGGGGCGGGTCAGGGATGGCATGCTCCCTGATGCCCGTGCCTCACACTGGTGGGGAAATTCGGCTCTCCTGGCTGCACAGCAAACTCTGTGTGGGAGTACTGCTGGGATCCGGGTAGATCCCGGTGGATTCAGGTGGATCCTGGTGGATCCTGGTAGACTGGCTCTGAGCCCCTCATTTAGGTTATGAAGGCAGAGACTTTTTAATAAGTGCTCTTTGACTTTGCGCCTCTTCACACATTTTGCAGAACTAGGATCTAAAAAGTCACCAACACAGAAGGGCAGCAAGAAGAGACAATGGGAAGAATACCAGTGGGAGAGAAGCTCATGGGGGCAAAGTAAAGATCACATGGAGGCTGTTGTCAGTAGTTTTGCTACAATAATAATAAATGTAGCAGAAAGGTAAATGTATTCACTGCATCAGGGGCTCCCGTGAAGCCACAGATCTGCCAGCTTCAGAAGCACAGGGTCCTCAGGGACGTGCCACACCTGCCTGGGGCTGCAGATGTCCGTGGACTCGGGGGCCCGGGGACGGCCGTGCTGACCAACGGAAGACACTGCGGGCGTGCCATGCCGCGGCCTCTGGAGCTTGTGCATGTCCCCGGCACCCTATATTTAGACCTGCCTATGGCCCTTGTGTTCTGTTGCCATCCCTGTAACAAGCAGCCAAACATCCACAGCCCTCCCAGCAGCCTCCGGGAGCTTCAGATCCCTTGAGATATATATAACCGTGGCATTAGGCCAAAAGCGTGGCAGAAGGCACTCGTGGGCATGGGTGGGAAATGGCAAGGGTAGGAGAGGAGCTCATGTGTGAAGGTGCCCCTCTGAGGATGTGCGTGTGCAGATGGGGGCAATGCCTGTGCAGGGATGTAGGTTTCTGTGTGCATGCATGTGTGAGTGCACGTGTGTGTGAATGTGCAGCTGGGGGCAGTGCCCGCACAAGGATATAGGTTTCTGTGTGTGTACACACGTGTGTGAGTGCTCACATGTGAGTGTGCATGCATGTGAGTGCACATGTGTGTGAGTGTGCACACGTGTGAGTGTGCAGCTGGGGGCAGTGCCTGCACAGGGGCGCAGTTTCTATGAGTGTATGTACACACATGTGCTGGTGTGCTCAGGAAGGCAAGTACATGTGTGCCTGCACACGTGTGTGCACGTGCTCATTCGTGTTTGTGTGCCGGCACGGTTCAAGGCTGACGTGCGTGCAGGAGAAACGGGGTGTGGTTTGTTAGGATGAATTTGCACACTCCTCTAACACGTCGGATTGTTTCCGTGTCCCATCCAGGCGCACCTCCAGCCACTCATCTTCCCAGAAGTCTTTCTCACAGAAGTCATCTTCCCAGAGAGCGGCCGGCCAGACGGCGTTTAGGGGGGCGACCTGCAGTATCTGTGCAAAGAGACTGAGCACCGAGGCTCTGGAGGAGGAGGAGCAGGAGAAGCAGAGGCGGTGAGCTTCTGCCCCCTCTCCCGCCCCGCCCCTCCCAGCACTGCGGTGGCACGGCACCTCGGCCGGGGGCTCTGGGGAGGGTCTGCGGCCACAGAGGGGACAGTGACAGGCATTTAGCCGAGAACACAGCCGAGAGCCTGGAGGGTCACCCTTGCCTCTGTGAAGCCCATCAGTGCCCAGCATATTGTTCCCTGTCTAGCTCAGTGAGTCCTACAGCATAACCGTGTGGGGCATTTTCCAGTTCCTTCTGCACAACCGAACTTGCCCACGTGGCCATGCTTGCGGTGGATCCCATGTCTGCACTCTGTCCAATCCCACGCTTCTCCCATGAAAGCACTGAGACCTGACAGGTTGAAGGTCATGTCGAGTTTCCCCCGACAGCCTCTTTAGCTGGAACGCAGGGCAGTGAGGTTGTTGGCTGGCAAGGTGATCTTCCAAACAGGCGGGCATTTCCAGCGGGTGTCTGAGTGGAAACATTGTGACGGCTGTGCCCAGCATTGCAGGGGACTCAGCTCATAGGGGAAAATGTCCCAGGAATGACATGGATTAATGAGGACGTCAGTCTTCACAAATTGTTTCCAGATCACAGAGAAACAGGTGGTGATCTTACAAGAACAAAATAGTGAAGCATGCCATGAACGCTTTGTGTTATACCTGCTCTGTTTTCCCCCTCACCTCCCCCTATTATTTCTAGAAAATGGTCTCTGTATTCTTACCCACTTAAAACCTGAAGGAGAAAATGAGAATTGGCAAACGTGTTTCATTTTGAACCTAGCACTACAATGAAGGGACCTGTGTAACAAAAATGGGCAGCTGGAAAGATCAGGCTTCATTTTGCACACTTTGAATGATCTTTTAGATGCCTTCTGTGAATTTTGCCATGTACATTTTATGGTAAAGTGAGGATTTCTTCTGTGAGAGAATCACATCAAAATGTGCACATTACCAAAAACTGGATTTTCTGTTATTGGACTATTTAAAAAATGGTTCTATCTTTATTTAGGGTGTGGGTATGGGAGTGAGAAGTTTAGACCTTTATAATTTTATTAATTATTCCTTGTGGTGACCTTGAGCATGTCACAGAAAATCTCTATTCCTCAATTTCCACAGGAGTGAATGGGGGGAATGTCAGCTTCTGTTAATTAGAGGGGTCAGGGAGTAGGTTACCGTGATTCACACGGTTTTGGCAGTAATCACTGTTGGGACAATCCCCGCTGTTGGAAGTCTTTTTGAGACACACAAGGCTACTCTCCTGGAGTAGTCCTTTGACCCCCAGCATGTATGTGGGTTATAGCCTGGGTCTCTCCAGCTCCTTTTGTTCTTCCCCTCCTGTGGCAGATCCTAGTTTAAGGTATGGGACAAACTGGTCCTTCTCGAAAGATGAATCCGTGGGTGCATCACTGATTAACTGCTATGTCTCCGTATAAAATAAAAGCCACAGAAGCATCGGCATGCTTTGAAGATCTCAGCATGGTCTTCTGGAGGATTCAGGAGATTAGATGCTTTTCCTTCTGTCCTGGTGAAAGACGGGCCCCCGTGCATCATGCCCGGGCTGTCCTCGGGGCTCATCGCTAAGCGTCAGTGTGTGATGGGTGACATTCTGCCGGAGAGGCCCGAGGCAGGCGTGGCAGTGGGCGGGGCGATGCTGGGTGCACAAAGACAGCACTCGGGCCAGATTGACGGCACCTCACTCTCGACTCTTACAGATCAAGAAGCTGAATTTTTTTGGGCGCCTGGGTGGCTCAGTTGGTTAAGCGACTGCCTTCGGCTCAGGTCATGATCCTGGAGTCCCGGGATCGAGTCCCACATCGCGCTCCCTGCTCAGCAGGGAGTCTGCTTCTCCCTCTGACCCTCTCCCCTCTCATGCTCTCTATCTCTCATTCTCTCTCTCAAATAAATAAATAAAATCTTTAAAAAAAGCAAACAAACAAACAAAAAAGAAGCTGAATTTTTTATTGAATCCCTTTTATTCTTCTGGAACACAGACTTACTTCTTACATGCATCTGTTGATTCAGGAGGCTTTCATGCAGCCCTAGAGTCATTCGGAATCAGCAGCCTCCCCAGGAAAACAGGCGGTTTTTATGAGCTCCATATGCAGAAGAAAGCGCAGGGGGGGTGGGGTTCAGGCTCTCCTTACATTGTCTGTGTTGGCTGTTAAACAGACACCAGCCCAGCAGGGCCTAAGCACTGGGTGCCAGACCCCCGGGCGGCCAAGCTCTTGGCCTTAGGGATGGGGAGACGGTGTCCTGAGAAGGTGGAGTGAGTTGCTCCGAGGTACAGACTTTACTGAGCATGTGTGAGTCATCATGGGGTCCAGAGCTGTAGACAAGTCCGATTTTAGGGGCCTCAGACTCCCTTTGTGACTCTGTGTCTGTTCCTGACATTGTGCATTATGCGCATCCCGGGTGCACGTCTGCTCACAGCAATCCGCGGAAGAGCACCGGCCTCTGAGCGGTGTGATTGTGCGCCCCTCCCGGTAAAAGGAGGGTTGGCGCATCTTCTCCCATAACTGTTTTATTTACGAATCATACGTCTGCCCTTCTTACAACTGCTTTGTGTATGGTACTAGCCCTCTAGCCAGACCATAGTCTTGAAAGAAAGAGATTAAAATTAAGCAGAAATAGCTTTTCTCAATTCCTCTTCTTGCTCTCCACTTGAGAAAATCCTGGGAAAGAGCATGTGTGGTCTCCAGACCTTTGATGACCACTCACCCTTTCTGCGTATCACGAGAGTAACGTCACTTCTTTGCCCCAGCAGGTACCAGTCTCTGGTGGCCTCTTATGGGGAAGCCAAGCGGGAGCGTTTCCTCCGGGATCTGGCTGAGATGGAGGAAAATATGCACCAGGCGCGCACACAGGCTCAGGACAAGCTGGACAAATACGCCATTCAGGAGATGGTAGGGGGACCTCTGGGGCTCCTTGAGAGGCGCGGGTCTGGTCGTGGGTTGTCTGCATGACATGCGTATGGCCCATGGGCAGAGAGCCTTGCTGGCCCATGCCGTGCCCCTTCCTGCAGCGTGCTGACCTGGCCTTGCTTCCCGGGGCAGGTGGAGGACAAGCTGACCGGGCACAGGCACTCCTACTTGGAGCGGATGCGCCGGGCCCCCGAGATCCTGGTGCGCCTGAGGTCCCACACCGTCTGGGAGAGAATGTCTGTGAAGCTCTGCTTCACCGTGCAAGGGTTTCCCACCCCCGTGGTGCAGTGGTGAGTGTGGGCAGGTGGCCTGCCCCCGGGTCTGAGGAGGGCTGGACTGCACTCTCTCACGAGGATCTGGTAACAGCTGGTGACAATGTGCAGATGAGGAAGAGCCACCTGAAGGGATCGTGTGGCACGCACCCCATTCCATTGCCCACTGTGTGTGAAACTCCATGGGACATACATTTATAAACACTCACTGAATGGCCACCATAAATGCCATGCCGGCATTTTATTTTAGTGAAATTGGCTCAGCTGAGTTTCAGAGGAATTCTACTTAAGAATAAGTTCCTTCAGATGATCTGAATGGTGGGGCCGCGTGTGGTGCTGTGGTTGATTGCACCTGATGATGTCAAGAATCAAGTCTCCAGGCCCCAGACCCTTGTGTTTCTCCATCTGTTGCATACCTATGTTTGTTGCTCCACTTGCTGGAAGTGATAATAACATTCCCCAAGTTTATAGCCTGCTGCAAAGACCATACACATTTTGCTCGTAACCTGACTGGGGCACTCAGCCCAGATCAGAAACTTAGTTCCAGGTTCTGTGGTTGTTTGCCGGGCAGGCTGCGGAGGCAGCGACCCACCAACTCTCAGTCTCAGGGAAACAAGGTCCTGCTGTCCCAGGTGGGGCGCGGAGGCCAGCTTCCTGCAGTCAGGATCCCATAGAACTTCCCAGAGAGGCTGGCCTGGGATGCAGCTCACACTGGCAACATTTTTTTTCTTAGGGAATGATTTATCCTGAATTCCTCACGAAGTCCAAGGACACTCGTGGCGCTCTCTGACATAGGTTGAGGACGGCCCAGATAGGCTGAATTCTGCAGGAGCTGCTCTCTCCTAAGTGGACACACAGACTTGGGCCCTGGGTCACCCCTAGTTGCTCTGCTGTGCCGGCCCCAGGTCCTGGGAAGTGGAGCTCACAGACGCAGGGCGATAGCATCCCTAAGGGCCCTAAAGAAGGCAGGGACAAAATGCAAATTCCCCTTTGCCTTTGCAGTAACTTGTTTCCCTCGTGCAGGTATAAGAATGGTAGTTTGATCTGCCAAGCAGGAGAGCCGGGCAAGTACAGAATCGAGAGCAAATATGGCGTGCACACGCTGGAGATCAATAGGTAAGGTGTTGGGCATGGTGGGCGCCTGGGGACACCTGCTTCAAACACTCAGTGATCCAAACACAGGAGAGACCTCACAGTTGGAGACAGGAGGTCAGGGGGCACCACGTCCATTCTGTGCCATGGGACTTTGGTAGTATTTCTGACTTAAGCTGTGGGGGAAGCTTCTGGAAGCTTGCTGTCCTTGGTGTCAGACCCCCAGTAGGCAAACCTGCAGCTCTGTCCAGGCTCCTGCTCTGGGAGCAAAGAGAATGGCTGGTTTAGGGACAGACGGTGGCGTTCAGGTGCACAGGTGACCGTGGATGAAGAAGATTCCCCACACCTGTCCAGCAGGGAGCGCATCGCGTGCCAGGTTTGGGGACCAGTGCCTAACTAAACCCAAGCTCCTCAAAGAAACATAACTTCTATCTTTTTTTCATAAATTGAAAAAATGTAGAATACAGATGAGGAAAAATAAAAATCATTCATATTTCCCACAGCATCAGTATTTTGCTATTTTTCATTTTCCTTACACAGCATGTGCATGCACGCACACACACACACTTAGATTTTTTTTCAAAAGTGAGATTCTGCATTTCTTTTTCTGCTTCTGTGTACACACAGTTTTTATTTCATAAGAAGATCATAACATGGTGCAATCCGCCTTTTCTCACAGTATATCATGACATTTTCCCATGGCTCAGCTGTTAATCTGACGGGTAAATGGGGCTCGTTACTGCACTGTAATTTAGGGACTGCAACCAGAGACCTGGGTTTGGATCCCTGATCTACCGTGTACCCTGTGACTTTGGATGGATCATTAACTCTTCCTGAATTGTAATATTTTTATCTGAAAGTCATTATCAAGAGACATGATAAAAAATTTTATCTTCTCTGTTGGCTTAATGGGAACGATCATGAAGACCAAATAAGACCATATATATTTTCATATGTTATATAAACATGTGGTGAGTGTGTGTGAGTGTGTGTGTAGTAAGTTATATCAAGTCCTTTCCAGGAAAAGATGAGGGATACTAATATAAATGCAAAAGTCAGTAAGACATTGGAATATATAACTTTATTGATTTTATTATTACTAACTTGTAGAGCAACCACATCATAATTAGGCTCAGTTTACTTAGAGGTAAAATAATCTGCAATAAAATAACTCTTAGTAAAATGGTCCCACTGAAATAATCCCCAAGGTGACTTGGAGAGGTCACAAGTTAGTACGACAGAGCATTCATCACGGAAACTTCTCCCTGATGCATCCTTCGACCGAGGGGATTCTTTCCTTTTTTATACATCAGTTTTGCTGAAGAAAGGGTTACTCTGATGTGCTCCTTCTGTGTGACCAGTGTGTGGGGCTCAGGCCCACACACCAGAAGGTGGGGTGTTCACCCCAGGAGCATGTGGGGGCACGGAGGGAAGTCACGGAGAGGAAGCGTCAGGGGTTGGGACTCTGCCAGACCAGCCTCACAGGCTCCTTACTGAAGCCAGATGATGGGATTCATCTGGGGAGGGGGTGGTGAGGCACCTGCTCAGACATGGGGGGGTCCCCCTGAGCTGACTCAGCAGGGTTCCTGCGCAGGAGGACCAGGTCCAGGGCTGAGGTTCAAGGAGCCTGGCCCACGTTGCTCTGGGAGGGAGTTCGCCATGTCTCCGTTTCCACCCCCGGGGAGGATGGTTTTACCGCGTTTCTTTGCTTTTTTGCCTTGCGCTCACTGGGTCTTCCTCTGCCTCCTGCCTGTGTTCTTCCTCCTTCTGTTTCCCAACTTCGGACTTGGGGTGGGAGCCCAGGCTGGAGCCCCTTCAGGCACTGCCCGCCCGGCACTCCCAGGCTGCACCTGCGGGGGGCACCCGCCAGCTGCCAGCACCAGGCTCTACAGCCTCCCCACTCCTCACGCGGGCGGGGGGCCGGCTGCCTCACCGGGCCGGCAGGGCTTTGGATGAGCCTCTGGAGGAGGCCTGCTGGGTTCCCCATCACCACAACCAGCTCTCCACCTGCACACTCTTCAGAACAGGTGTTAGAAGGTTGTGATTAAGATGAATATTTGTGACAAGTGGTTTTCCAGGTAAATGTGAGGGCTGTTTCAAAAAACTGGAGGGCCAGGCCTTCTGGTGCTATTTTTTGGGAACCTACTGTGTGCCAGGCACTGGTCCAGACACTTGGGATAAGGGATCAAAACCGAGGTCCTCTTCTTTGAGGTCTTATAATCTGCCATAAGGAGGTGAACCGTAAGCACAATAAAAAAGTGAATTATATAGTAGATCAGGAGGCCAGGGTACTGGGTGTGGGGAGTGGGGACCTGTTGGTGTAGGGGTGGGCTGGGATATGGGGTGGAGCAGGGTGGTCAGGCTGGCCCTAACTGAGAAGACATCCTCGGGGCAAGGCTTGGGGGTGGAACACCCTGGCCCCTTGCTGTAATTCTCAGAGAATAAGGTTCTCTCCTTTGATTTCCAAAACATGTGTCTATTTGAGTAGCCAGAAAGCCACACTGTGTAGAAGGAGAACATCGCCTTCATCGTGGAGAGTGTGCTGAGTTCAGGGCTGTCTCTTCTGTACCTGGGTGCGCCATGGCTGCTTAGAGGTCCCTAGGTCAGCCCGAGTTTTCACCCAGCTTGCTTCCGAGTTAACAACTGCATTTACAAGGGAAAACCATTTCCTGTTCTCAAGTATGAAACTTTTACACTTATCCTGGGGGTAATACCAGCTTTGAACCCAGCGCACTGATAAACCGGTGAGTCTGTCAGCTGTGAGTTTGTAAACTGAGGCCCGGGACGCCGTGGTCCATGGCTCAGCAGCCCAGGTCCCTGTGGAGACGGACTTGCCCAGCACTCCTATCTGCCCGGGGACCCTGTCCGCAGCTGACGAGCGAAGGGGGAGCCTGCTGTCTCCGCACAGCTCAGCTGTTCATACCAAACTGCTGAGTTGCCATCATTTGATCCATGGCCATTTTGAGTGCAGTGGAATGTGCTGCCAGCCGGGGAGGGAGGGAGCTCCCCCTTCAGCTGCCGGGGTGACGTTTGCCCCTATGAATACTCCTTGGCTGCTGCCTGAATTCTTCAAGTGCTTCTGACCCTTTGGTGCTGTTCGAACTTAGACTGTAATCGACACGATTTTATATGCTCATAAAATTTTCCTTGGGGACTCATAATGTGAGTCCTGTTTCTTCACAGAATTTTAATGCTGCGCTCATGTTTTTATGAAAGCACAAAGGATGACCTCGTGCAGGTTTTGTGTCCAGCACCACCCCTGCCCCCTCGCCGCAGCCAGGCCGACCTCCTGGGCGCATTAGTTTAGACTTCCATATGCAAACTCTCATTTGAGTTAAATTGTAATTCCAGTGTGGACACGGCTTCCAGGGGAAGGATGCTGGGCCCGAGTTCCCAGGACAGGTCACGGGCGATGTAAGCATTTGTCGGATTACCCTCCTGAAAGGAGATCAGAGGGCATGACTTTCTCCCATGCGGTTGCCTGGAGGACACTTCAAGACTCGGAGATGCACAAGTGCCCCATGGAAGTTTGTAGAGATTGAGACCTCTCTCTATCCTGGGAACCTGTCCAAACAGAACATAAAATCGTCTGCCTCCTAACCACGTGCATGCAATTTCTCACAGCGTGGAGGATGGGCCAGAAGCAGGCTCTGGGGGCCGGCTGTGTGCTACCTCTTGCTGTGGCCTTGGGGTGGAGAGAGGAACGGAGTCCTGCTGGGGTGTGGGAAGGCATATGGGTCCCGAGATTACCTGTGCACAAAATTTTGCGTAGGGCATAGGCTCCTCAAAATCTGCATGCCCAGCCTGTCCACCCCTTGGCTTGTACTCTGCACTGGCGCTCGGGTCCCGTCCTTCCTGCAGCCTGCCCGCAGCTCCAGCACGGGGTGGCACAGGTAAGCCTGGCCCCCAGTCCAGACAGGTATGCTTGCTGATCATCTCTGTGTGTCCCAGTGTATTATTTTATGCAACATAAAACATTTGCAAAGGAGAAACACAGAAACAATGTAAAAAGAGTAGACATCACAGAAGTGAGGACTCACACCTCCACACCCAGTGGGCCGTGTGTACTCCCTCCACGGGGCACGGGGATGCATGGGACAATTACAGTAAAGCAGGAGGTCTGCGTATTTGGGGGGTATGCACTTCTTTACACCCCAGAGGACGCCGCGGGGCACATCCCTTTCTGGAGAAATGCACACACGCACATCCACACACCAAAGGACATTCCAGCTCCTAAGTGCAGGCTTCCTTCTCCCCAGCCCATCCATCCCGCTAATTACTACGTGCTAATCGGTCCCTTGACAAGTTTGTCAGTGCTAATGTGTTAGGTGGTTCTCCTCCATGTCTTATTCTCAACTGGAAAACCAGCTCAAGATCTTGTGGGAGGAGCTGCCATGTGGGTGGGCCACCTTGCCCTCCCTGGGGGAGGTCCGGTTTGAAAACTCTGGGGGACAGTTTGGGAACCACTGGTATCAAATCCCACCCAGAAGGGTTTGTCAGAGGGATCGAGAATACAGTGCCCAACTGGACAACGCTGGTGAGATCTCTATACACTCCGTCTGAGGACTCGAGTAGGTGTAGCAGTAGGAGCCGCCCCCCTTTGGGAATTGGTAGGGACACTGGCCGGGGGACAGTGTCTTGGCTCAGTGGGGTTGCCCCCTCGCTGGACCAGCCCTGCTTTCTGGGCTCCGTGGAAGTGTCGGCCATGTCGCTCCTCCTCCTAAGACTTAGTTCCTGTGAGCTTGCAGACAGGCTCCAGGTCAGGAGACTTGGATCAAGCGGTTTTCTCAGGGTGCCATGCTGCTCTGCAGGTGGCCCGGGCCAGTGATGCTCCCGGCTGTGTCCATGGGATGCCCGGCTCTCCCTCTTCTTCCCTGTCGTGTTATAGCCCGTGGGGGTGTTGGTTGGAGGGAAAGGTGTGCGGCTAATCCCAGAAGAAGGATACCTTCCTGTTTACAGAATGCATTGATGAAAATATAATGGTTTCATTGTTTAGAAGAAATCACACAAGCGCAAAAAGAAAATGATAATAATTCAAGCAATGCTTAAGGGTAAGGAAGAGAAGTAATCATGCCTTCTGTGTAGACCCCCTGCCCCAGCCGCCCCTGATGGTCTGTGTGCCTGAGGGAGCGTGTGCCGGTGTGGAACAGTAATGCTTCGAAGCCTCCTCTCCCCGTTACTGGAGACACTGTGTGCTTTTTGGTCAATGGAAATATTTTCAGCTCCAAGTGGAATAGGGAAGAAAGTCAAGTTACTAACCATCCCCAAAGAACAGGTTTGTCTCTGGGGCATTGGCTCCTTGACGCATTTTAAAAGAAAGCCTGGAGTCAACTTTTTCTTTTCTTTTTTTTTCTTGTGTGTGGAATTTTGTGTGTAATTTCTCTCCCCGGATTAATATCACGGTCCTGATGCCCACTTCTCGGACAGGTGGCGGAAGCTGCCGGAAAGAGTGCAGCTCCTGGATTTACATGCACCTTTTTTACCCAACTTCTTCAAGTGTCAACGTTCTCACCACGTTAATACATAATCGTGTGTGTTTTCGAGGGCGCTGGAGCCTATTACACAGGATACGTTAAAGTAAAAGTAACCAGCAGAGTGTCTGGTATTTGGTAAAAAAGCTCAGCAGATGCCAGATCCTCCACCTTACATCCCTGGTCCCGGTGACACTTTCTGGTGGGAACATAGTTCACAGCCAAGAAAATAAGCTTCAGCTTTTGTAAGATCCATCTGTGGGGGAGGGGTTGCAGAGGAGCTCCACCCTGGAGGGACTGGGGTCTGGTCGTTGCTGGGTCCTTGTTCTTTCTGGGGTGGACATGCAACCTCACTGCGACTCCTTAGTGATGGCTGCCTCAGGCAGGTCTGGTTCAGACAACTTCAGAACACCCTGGGGTGGCTGCTTCATATCTGGGTGATCTTTTGGGGTTTGGGGCATAATCTCCCATACACATGAGAATCCCTGGTAGGGAGGGAGGTGGAGTGGATTTTCCTGGAGGTTGAGGTCCATGGAGCCTTCCCACTGGCAAGATAAAGCCATGAATTCTACCCACGTGGAAAAATGGAACCAGCAGGGAGGAGAGACTTCCCCTTGAGCATAAGACTGAGGCTTTCCAGAAATGTCCATCCATACGGTTTCCCTCAAAGACAAAGGCCAACCATAGTCTGGAGCCAGACCTTACCGCGTCTATAATTAATACCTTGTTCCGAGGATGGAACTGGCATTGTTCTTAAACAAATCACTCATGAACAAAGGATCCAGGTCACATGAGTGGCTTTCAAAGAATGCTAGTGTTTGAGTCCGGGTCACTGGCTTCCAGAGTCCCACAGTGCATTTAGGACACTGCCTTGCTTTCTCTCTCTAAGGGCAAACTTTGACGATACAGCGACCTACTCGGCCGTGGCCACGAATGGGTACGGGCAGGTGTCGACAAACGCCGCCGTGGTGGTGAGAAGTGAGTTGTCCTCCTGGGGTGGGGGGCACGCCTCACGCCTCCTGCGTCTATCCGTGCCCTTCACCCGGTTCTCTTGCAGGGTTCCACGGAGACGAGGAGCCATTCCACTCGGTGGGACTCCCGATTGGATGTAAGTCCATGGTTTTCCTTTGTGTGCAGAAAAATGTGTAGTGACGTAGCATGTGATTACAAAAAAAAGTATTTTCTAAGGGTCGAATCTTTTTTTAAATCATATTTCAAAAGACTCTCCCAAGTCTTCCCTGGTGGTGTTTGTCCGCGGATGGTCTGTTCCCGTGTCATTCTGTGGCCAGGTGGAATTTTAAGACACTGGTGAAGTTGGGAGACGTTCCATTTTTGAATTGGGTGGAAAAACGTGAATCCAAATCCTTGACCTGAATGCAGGCTCCTGCCATAGTGTCCTGTGCCCCAGCCCGAATCTCCACGCCTGGAGAGGGCTGGCCGTTCCCGTTGCTGACGGGTGTGACACGCCCTAGCATGTGTGTCTGTACCCTGCTGGCTCACGTACCCCCCGCTAAAGCGCTCCTTCTCCGCACTTGAGAGCGCGTGTGCAGGGCCGTGCTGCTCCACGGTGCTGGGGAGCCGTAGGCCACCTGCCCGTGCCCTGTTCCCAGGGTGACCTGCAGTGGCCCTGCCATGGGGTGAGCCCGGTGTCTCTCTGAGCCGGGAGGCGGGGACGCCGGGCTGACCCGAGGCCGCTGAGCGCAGAGAAGGCAGCCGTGCCCATAGCATCTCTAGGACCAGCACTTGGTAGTCCCACTTACTGTGGCTTTTTAATGGTTTGGGAATGAGGTTCAGGACTGACCTGCCCTTCCAAAAGAGTAACTGTGTACCCCCACAGCAGCTTTGATTGTGTCATAATTTGGGGTCCAGACGTTAAAGGTCAAGTGTGGGTGAGGGAAGACCTGACCGAAGCAGCACCCGAGGGGAAAGCCTTCTGGCAGCTGCTGCACACCTGTGTGTCCTTGGCTTTTGGTCATTTCTGCATCAGGTGTGTTGGATTGTCCTGTGTCCAATGCTTGGGGGTTGTGCACGACCATGGACGGGGTCGGGGCCACACGGGGGGAGGGGAGGCAGGGTGACCGGAGGATGTGTGTGTCGGTGCCCCGTAATCCACTGATGATGCGGGGTCCGCTGGGAGGACAGCCCTGGTGTGCCGAGGAAGCTGGTGGGGAGCTCAGAAGCCCTCCCCGGGTCCCTTCCCTGTTATAATTCTGTCTAAACAAAAACTTGACAGTATTTACAATGTACTGAAGCGTACGGTTTGCAACATAATAGATGACCATGTATTCACCACCTGTATTCAACACATGTGAATATTTTGCCATTTTTTTCAATTGCTTTTTAAAAATCAAAGTCCAATTGGCATCACACAGAACTAACGATTTCAGATGTACACTTTGGTAACCCCTGGTTATTTTTAGGAGCTAAGGGCATCTGGAGGTGATAAAACTCCACCCTCCCTCCCCCCTTCCCTCCCGCCCCTCCCCCACATCCTCCTGGGAAGAAACCATCCTCTGGAAGTTCCCAGCCTTTAGAAAGTTCTCCCCGGCATGCACGTGTTTTAAATCATGGATTTTCTTTTGTTTTGCAGATTTACTGTGCATTTTCTTCTGAAATGTACCCCCCCACTAAACATCATATTTTTGAGATTGAATTTGGCTACCCCTGGATGTAGTTAATGCATTTTGTGTGCAGTATAAAGGGCGTTGTGCCGTTGAATATACATGGTGTGTTCTGAAGACCAGAACACTGTGGGCTCAGAGCCCAGGTGACTTTCCCAAAGCCCTACAGGTGGGGCATTTGGTCTACGCCGCGTGGCTCGGCCTCCACATGGCCTCCCTGTGCCTCTGCACCCTCTGGCCCGGAGGACGAGCTGCATCTCCATGACAGGTCTTCTGATTCCTCGGGAGGGGCTCAGTCAGCTCAGCTGCTACCACATTCTCTGTAGCCTGGGGGTTCAGACCATAGGCATGTACTTCTCACAGCTGGGGAGAAGTCAGAGGTCATGGTGTGGGCTGAGTGGGGGAGGCCCTCCTACTGGTGTGCGGGCGGCACCTTCTCGCCGCGTCTGCACACAGAGGAGAGAGCCCGGGTCTCCTCATGGAGCCCACCGTCATGACCTCCTGCTAAACCTTATCACCTTCCAGCGACCCTACCTCCTAATACTTCCTCACTGGGGCCGAGGGCTTTGATGTGTGAATTTGGGGGGCACACGTTTATCCCCCAGTGCAGGTGTCTGGAGGGCGCAGATGCGTGTGGTCATGGGGGAATGCGCACCTGTTGCGCGTGCACCGGCCTGCCCATCCCGCTGTAACCGTGTCCCCTGATCTGCGCAGTGCCTCCTTCGTTCATGATTCCATACATGCACTTTGATGTCCAGTTTTTGGAGAAGTTTGGGGTCACCTTTAGGAGAGAAGGCGAGACTGTTACTCTCAAGTGCACACTGCTGGTAACACCGGAGCTGAGGAGGGTACAGCCACGCGCCGAGTGGTACAGAGACGGTGAGTAGTGGGCAGGCACGGCCAGCCCACCCGGGGAGGCTCCCTGGGGCGACGTGCACCGCTGCACGCACCCTCGGCGTCACCGGGGGTGAGAGTGAACGGGAAGCTTGAGGGGTGGTTTGGCATTCGTGCCCACCACGGTGTTGGCCACAGGCAACACGGCAAGCAGAGAGACTGGGAGCTGGGAGCCTGCCGTGCACCTTGACCTTCACCCCGGGTCAGGGAGAGGTTAACAGGGATGCCCGAATTTAGATGAGTCATAGGAGATTTTTGTATAGCTTCACAGGAAGGGTCTTTCTGTGGTTAAACAGAACAAGCGAGGTGTCTGTATCTGCCTGTTCTTCCTTGGCTGAAACCACCGCTTACACTGATTAGAGCCCGTGGAGTACTGGGCTCTGTTCTCAGCGTGACGCTTTTCTTGCATCGGGTCTGTGAGAGAGGGATGGTGTTGTAGGTCCCTGTGACGGGGGTCTCCCCCGGGGGCGGGCTGATGCAGACTCCCCGCTCCTCTCCCGCCTGCGCCCTTCTGCAGGGCTGTCCTCATGGCCCTGTGTGTGTGGAAGGCGTTTCCCTCGTCTTCTCTGGCCAGGGGGCTCCTGAAGGAAACTGGCCTTCTGTGCAGCCAGCGAGACTGTCCTGCTTATATTTACTTGGGACCTAACACAATTCAGAAGGTGACAAAGAAACACACACCTGCCCAGCAGGTATTTATAATCCAGCCAGAGGAAAATAGAATTATAAAGCAATGTCCTTTTAAAGTGTGAGGAATGTCCCAGAACAGGGTGTGACGATTGCCAAAGACACGGCACGGACCGCGTGTGCTGACAACCTGGAGCCCAGCGAGGGGGAGAGACTCTTTGTGGTGACAGAGGAGATTTAATTTGCCCTTTGCCGTTCTAATTTAAGACATAAGATCCGACCAAAGTTCCAACATTCTCATTTACCCTTTCTGGAGAGAATGGAATAGATTCGAGGAGAGTTTTCATCGGATCCCCGGAGGACAGTGATGTCCATTTTGGAGTGTTTCCTAGTGACTAGAAAGTCCTGGATTCCTGGGGATGTGGCCACGACGGGTGTGCGAGAAACACAGGTGCTCAGAGCCACCAACAAGCCTCTTCCCCGCATCTACTGGATCCTTGCGGAAGTTAGGGGGCTTAGCTGAGCCAGGTGCCCCACGTCCACGGTCATGCTCAGACCTTCACGGGCCCTGGGATTCAAGTGGAGACCATTCTCTGTGGCTTATTTGTAGACATTAAACTGTAAGGAGGTGTTTTTTTTTGTTTGTTTGTTTTTCTGTTTTTCCCTGTTTAAAATTAATGTGCTTTGAGGCACCGGGTGACTGGTACACCCCCAGCTGATGTCAGTCCGAGGAATGCCACCGTCTGTCAGGCACGGCAGGTGCGCTGTGCAAACAGGACATGTGGAATTGGGGCCCCGATTTAAGATAAATTAAGCCTCAAATCTAATCAGAGAGGAATACCAAGGTCACTTATGATAAAACCCAGGACCACCATGGGGTGTAATTTGCACTTGAGGCTGATTTGGCAAGCCACGAGATGGTTATGGAGCCAGCGATGGGGTGGACCTCTGCTCAGGGAACGGGCTTCTGGCTAGACCTTCCCTCAGACCGAGCCCAAATTCAGCGGACGGCCCGAATCTCACATTAGACACGTGCTGCCCATTTCCTATGAACCAGGTGAGTAACCGGGCAGCTTGAACATCAGACTGACTTCCCACGCTTGTGGGGGCTGGGGGCCCAATACCCAGGCAGAGGCAGACTCCCCTCCTGGCTTGTAGCCTGGGGAGCCTTCCCTCTCTGCTCCAAATTAATGACTTCATCATCCTGCCTCACCCATTCCTGCCTGGAGTATTACATTTTAAAATTGTATGTTGCATTACATCACGTTATAATATATTTTTATTGCACTTACCTGTGTATCAGGTCCTGTGCTAATTCCTCTGGGAAAGAGAGAAAAATTGATAAAACACCTTAAAATATCTATTTTTCTGACACTTCCGACACTTTCTATTCACAGTGCTGCTGAGTGGGCTTAGCCCCTTAGGCACCATGAAGGAGAAGTTAATACTCTGTGCACTTTGTGGGGCAGAGTACTCCTGAGCCTGCCAGCAAGTTTGAGACATTAAAAATATAAACAAAGCTCTTTTTCCTTATACGCATGTGGTTTTTATTGCAAAAAAAACCCCAAATTATAATTTCATTCACCAAAAATCACTCTTAACCACTTGGCTGTAGACTGTATCTCTGTGTCTGTGCATATATGTTAAAACAGGGAAGATACCTTCACTTGGAAATGTCCTTCATGTAACCAGATGCCATACCCGTGTCTCCATGACAGTGATTATTCTGAGACACAGTTCGCTGGAGGGCCCTGTGCCCCATTATACCGTGGTCCGTATTTGCCCCGGGTCTCGGTGTTGGAGTTGGTTTATTTTTTTCCAGTTAGGAACAGTTCTCAAATGAAGTCACTGTCACGCACCTGTTTACCACCTTGGGGCCCGTTCTCAGAATGTCTTTCGGGCGCCCAGAAAGCGCACCTGCCTGAAGGCTTTCGGCTCACGTTCCCGCTTGTGCCGTGTGGCCGCGCTCCCACGGGCAGGAGGTGGCCAGCGTCTCTTTGCCCTTTCCAAGCACGGATGTCGCCACGTGGTGGTGGTTGCCCAACGAGGAGGGGGACAGGGGTCGCTCCTTCTTTCGTCTGCTGCTTCCTTGGTTTCCCACGTTGGATGTTTCTTCCCCAGACTTGTCCTTTTGCACAGCTGCAAGACGGTTTGTTGCCTCTTCTGCAGTTTATTGCTAAGGCACATGGCGGAGGCCTTTCGCTCCATGAAACCTGGCGGTGGACGCGGTGAGACACTGTGGGGCGCGCCAGGGGCAGACGGCTGGGCCCCGGTCCACCGCCATCTCCACAGGCCGACACACGCTCTGTCTCTGTCCCTCCTGACACTGACCTTGTCCTGCCCTGCAGATGCCTCTTGACTCACCATCGGCCATTGTGTGTGTGCTCCTTGTGTAAAACATGGCTGTCCAATCGTTACGAGGCTGAGGCTTCCTTCCTCAGCGTCAGGCTCGAAAGCCCTGCCCCCCCCACCCCCCACCAGGGCACCTTGTCCACTTTTATAGTCTGATTTCCGTGACAGTTTCTGAAGCAGTCCTGCACTGAACACTCTTTCAGATGTGCTAGTGAAGGAGTCCAAGTGGACCAAGATGTTCTTCGGAGAAGGCCAGGCCTCTCTGTCCTTCAGCCACCTGAACAAGGACGACGAGGGCCTGTACACCCTGAGGATTGTGTCCAGAGGGGGCATCAGCGAGCACAGCGCCTTCATGTTTGTCCGAGGTATGTGGCGTGGCCGCGGGTGTGCAGGCAGCATGGCGAGGGCGCGAGCGCGGGGGGACGGGACACCAGACAAGAATGGAGGAGATGCGTGTGCGGGGCAGCCCGCTGCGCTCCTTGGAAACCTCCTGATGGTGGCGTTGGTGTTCCTGTGTGCAGGTCAACTCGAGTCTGACAATCAGCCCATGATGTAAAGAGATAGAATTGGGAAAGGAGCAGAATCCTAACTTTTATCTCTCTGTTGATAAATTGGTAAAATGTATAATATGACTCTCTAGCATGAACACACCTGTGTTGCTAATTCTCGAGAAAATTCAACAGTAGAGAGGGGTCCCGAGTAGGGAACGCTGGTTAGGGACACCTCCTCCAGGCTTGCTTATGAGACGAGACCACGATGCTGGAACTGTTACCACCACCACCGACCTCAGCGAGCGTGCGTTCAAGACGCCAGCGTGGTGGCTGGCTGCCCCTAAGAGCCTCACGTGCAGCAGCCCATGTGCGGCCCGTTTACTCCTCATGTCTTCCCATGGGGGCTGCATGATGCCCACCTTATGGAAAGGAGAACTGGACCCGCGATAGAGCAGGTAGTGTTAGCCGTTGGGCACGTTATGTACGGGCACATACACATTTCATACCTACGTTGTAGAAAATGGACACGTGGGTCAGTGAACTGGATAAAATTATGTATATCCCGTGTATACGATGCACACAGATGTCTATACACACATGTGTATCTGTGCATATACAGAGACACATACAGGCATGTGTATATATAATCTAAAATTCTTACACTGATCCCGTAAGCCAGTGCCATAATTCTCTGTCTCAAATGCAGATGTGGAGGCTCAGAGGGGACTTCTCCAGGGAGGAGCACCTGGGGGTCAGCTGTCTGGGCTCACAGCTGGAGCCTTCTCTTGCACACTCACAGCCCCCAGGCTTTTCTGGGCCCCTGGTGGAGCCCTGCCCGGCAGCGACTCCCAGACCCCCTGTGGTGTCTGGCTTAGGGACCCCTCCTCCCCAGGGCTCAGCTGAACCGCCCTGAAGATCCCTTGGTTCTAGTTGGCGGGCACTGCTGTCCTGAGCCTGTGGCCCCTGAGGGGGGCTGCCCTCCGTTCTGACGGCCCGCCCAGCCTCACCCACCCCTTAATCGCTGTTTCCTGCACCTTTATGCCTCCCCAGGTTACATGGGCCTGGAATAACCCTATCAGCATATTATTCTTTCCAAACTGCAACTGTTGGATCAGAGCATAAAAGAAGGGCTGTGTCATCAGGGAATATTATAACTTAAAAAAAAAAAAAAGGGAACACATGTAAAACAAAGCCACTCACCTGACCCACCCCCGTGAGACAACACAAACTTGCAGGGCTGGGATTTTAGACCCTTCTACAAAGTTTTACCGTTTTTATTAGGTTGGCATTGAAGTGTACCTTCCATTCTCTGTGTTTGCCTTCTGGCGAGATGTTCCACCCCATAAAAAGGCAATAAATACAACATAGCCGAGATTGCTTTGCTTATTCAGCACTGGCAGCAGGAAGAAAATAATGCACTTAGGGGGGAGTTTAACTGTCCTGATTACTTTCTGAGGGTTCTGAATGCAAAAGAAAATATCTGGCTCAATGTCAAGGAATCCTTAGCTTTTAATATGCTGAGGAGAATCGAACAAGACAGTACAACATTCACAGTTACCCAGTAAGGAAGAGCAGACTGCAGATAAGGAAACTGAAGGTTTGGTGTGTCCACTTTCTGACTAGCCCTGCTGGCCTTCAGTGCCCCTGTACCGAGCATCTGAAAACCAAACGTACCTGCGGTGTGCTCATCAATGGGTTAGGAAAGTTTCAGTGCAGCACGGGCCCAAACATTTGCTCACCACTTGCAGAAAATAAAAATTTTATGTCCTTGTAATCTTGTAAGGACTTTGAGAGATAGAAGCGTCTAAGGTAATATTTCTCACACATAAAAAGGTGACGTTATTATCATCATTTCTTCTGTCAGTTCTTGACGTGACATTATGTGACAACCCGCCATCAAGAGAAGGTGACCTTCAATTTTGGAATCAATTATGAAAAATCATAGACTTGAGTATTTTATAGAGGATAGAATGTTTTTGACTTTAAAAACTCATAAATATGTTTATATTTCTTGTCACCAAACCATCATAGTCAAAAAATAGTCAAGTCATTTAGACGTGAGGATTAAACGGGTTGGACTCGAATCGGGGAGATAGAAGTGTGAGTTTGAAGAATTGGGCAACAGGCTTTCCAGCGCCCCCCACCTATATGCCTTTTCTCCCCTCCCCCAATGGCAGACGCCGACCCGCTGGTCACAGGGGCTCCGGGCGCGCCCATGGACCTGCAGTGCCACGATGCAAACCGCGATTATGTCATCGTGACTTGGAAGCCGCCCAACACCACCACCGAGAGCCCTGTCATCGGCTATTTCATTGATCGGTGAGTGCCCGCTGCCTTCTTCCAGGGCTGGAAATGTCCCTGAAACCGATGTTGGCACGGACAACGTCTTTGGAAATTTCTCTAAACCTAAGTTCATGACACTGTTCTTGGTCAGATCAGGTATTTCACTCTCTGGTTATTTAGTGCTCCTGAGTAGGTAGAACATGGAGGGGTTAGGGTAGGTAGATTTCTGTGTGTTGTAATTGTTTGCCTGTTCAACACCCCGTATTGAATCCCCTCCAACTTTTCCAGGCAGAGTGAACCCCGGTTCTGGGTTCTGGGGAGAGTTCAGTCCTGCTTCTCCGTCTAGGGGAGGAGAAAACAGGCAATATGGAAATGTAGCTGGGAAGAATGCTGGCCCATTGGTACCCAGGTTTCATTCTTCCTCTCCATTAAAGTACGCTTTCTTATTGCTTCCAAGCAAAAATAAAAAAAATGCCATTTCAAAGGACAAAATGTTGGGCGCCTGGGTGGCTCAGTTGGTTGGGCGACTGCCTTCGGCTCAGGTCATGATCCTGGAGTCTGGGGATCGAGTCCCACATCGGGCTTCCTGCCACTCAGCGGGGAGTCTGCTTCTCCCTCTGACCCTCTTCCCTCTTGTGCTCTCTGTCTCTTATTCTCTCTCTCAAATAAATAAATAAAATCTTTAAAAAAAAACAAAGGACAAAATGTTGGAATTTACCTTTGAGTTAATCACTTAAACGTGGATCATCATTAAACTCACAGGAGTCTTAATTCTTTCACATTCCTTTACTTGGTATGGTGCTCAGGGCCTGGGAAGGAAACCAAGCAGAGCCAGTGAATTTATTGGAAGTGCAGTTTGTGCCCCAAATACACACTTCAATCACTGAGAGAAATTGCAGCCCAAGAAAATGAATTCAGAAGTAACACAACAGGGTCTAAGGAGGGTGGCTCTGGGGAGGAATTTTAGATGTTGTATGTATAACACACAGTAAAATAAGATGTTTATTTCAGAAAAATCATTCAAGTCTGGTTGTTTTATGGCATTAGGTTGGTTAAATTCCCTTTTCCATACCAACAAAGCTACTTGTTTAGGTAAAACACTCACCATCGGGATAATATTTGGAAATGCTAAGGTCAGATTTGTGGAGTGCATTGGTCAGAGTTTCCCTTGAATTAAAACACAGAAAAACAAAATAAAACGATTTTCTGGTTTCCTGTGACATTTGAACATTTTTTCAGCCATTTGGCAAAAACCATTTCATGGCCCTTCTCAGTTAATGATCCACCCCCTGCCCTCTTTCATTAAAATGGATGAACACAACAGAACCTTCGGTCGGGGGAGGGGCCTCCCCACCCTGCAGCAGCCAGCTGGGGGGTAAGCTGAGATGCGCCCCCGCCAGACTCTCAGTTTTGACCGTGTTCTGGCTGTAACATGTTAGCACACGTGGGTCACAGAACTTGCATTAAAATTCTGGATCGTTAGGAGAAAGAGAGTTGGTTCTTTCTAAAGCAAATACACAGCCCTGGCTCGAACAGCTCCAAAAGATGATTTTTCTGAACTTGCTATGCTCTCCTGGGGATTTGACATGATGTTTTGGTGATGAAGTTTCTCAACCTGTGAAAAATGGAAGCTACTCTCTGCATTTTCAGGTGTCTGGTCAGGACTTAATGTTTTCAAAAGATTTCCAAATTCCACATGTGATGTGCTCGGAAGACACATCTCACTGACTTTGGAACAGACTGAACCGGCGTTCTGGAGAGATTTCACTCTGTGAGGCTCAGTACAGCGGGGTGCAAGTGGGGGACCAGTGGTGAGGGCCATTTGGTTCCCTACGCCCTGGCACTGGGCATGTGGGGGAGCTTAGTGCACCCGCTGATTCTGCCATGTAATTTGGAAAAAGGACTGTCGAGGATACATCTCCTGTGACTTTTAGAGGAGATTTTGCCTAAATGTGGTTGAAGGCAGGAACTGATCTTCAAGCTCTAAATTATAAAGCTTCTAAATAAATAAATAGAAATACTTTACATTTCCTAAATAGCTCTGTCTTCTACGTTTGTTTATACTTCTGCTTATGCAAATCTAGTACAGTAACAGTATTGATTTCTACAGTGTAAGGAAATTTCCTGTTATAGTTGACATATGTGTATTTATTAGACCAATATATTTGTTATTCTCTGCTCGTTTTTTTTTGTTTGTAATTTTTTTTATTTAGTTTGCAAACGTGTGTGGGTCTTTGTTCTCTGCTCGTTTTTATTGAAGATGCGAAGTGGGAACGGACAACTGGGTTCAGTGCAATGATACTCCTGTGAAAATCTGCAAATACCCTGTAACCGGTCTCTTCGAAGGAAGGTCGTACATCTTCCGTGTGAGGGCAGTCAACAGCGCGGGCATCAGCAGGCCTTCCAGAGTGTCTGAGGCCGTGGCTGCCCTTGACCCTGTTGACCTCAAGAGGTTACAAGGTAAGTTGTGCCGATGTCAAGCTGCAGCGGTGCCTTGGAAACTTGGGGCTGTTTTCTGTGATTTGTTCTTTCTCTTCCACGCTCGGCTGCATACGAGTCTTAAGGGCACCTTCGCGGGCTGAGCATGGCACGGTGACATTTTATGGTGTATATAGTCCATATACAGTCCGACACCAACCACACCACCTTCCTAATGCTCTTCACTGCAATCTAGTCAGATTGGCTCAGAATTAAAATTTTCTTGATGATATAATTTTAACACATTAGGTAAGACTCCGAAGTCTTTGAAACCAAGCCACTTTATTTCCAAATGGTAATTTCACATGACACAGATTCCTGAAAGGGATTGGGCCCTCAGTTATGGTGTGAGGTGAGCCCCTACATTTTCCTTACCTGCATGGTCTTTTGAACCCAGCACAAAGATCTGAGAAGCACTAAATATGAAGACTGCTTCAAAATATCAACTCAGATTACTTTAGAGTCGTGAGTGTGTTGTAATCATAATGCAGAGGGGATTTGGATCTCGTACTTAGTTAGGGAAACTGGGGCTTTCTGGAGGAAACCTTGGGATGCCAAATTCAGCATCTACCTTTCTCTCTGCAGCGGTCCATTTGGAGGGGGATAAAGAAATCGTGATCTACCAGGATGACCTCGAAGGTGAGTGGCCCTTCAGCACCACGGCCCCACTGCATGTGCCCTAGGGATTCAGGATGGTGGTCAGAGAACAGAGTCACCGACAGCAAACACCCAGCTGGTGGGTATCGTCTATGTGTGTAAACACTGAAGCCATAGATCGAGTCTGTGAGTGTGTGGCCTGTAGAAGTTAGAAAACAGGAACGAGGCAGATTGAGGGAGAAGATTAGGATCCAGGGTCCTCCCCGGTGGTTTTATCGCTTCCCTATGGGTTCTGGGTTCTCCTGGGGCCTCACGGAGAAGATCAAATTGAAGCTGAGCCTTTATCACTGGCTGAGGCTGGGCCCTTTCTCTTATACTCTGTGAGTGGAGGACTGTTTCAGTTTTTCTTTTTAAGCAAAAATTTTATCTCTATCATTTTAGCCGAAATGGACTGAGTTCTTCCTGTCAGTATTCTTGGGCTGACAGTTTGCATTTCCCTCATTTATATTGGAATTTATGAACACTTCTCTTTGATATTCCTTTCAGAGATAGCTAGGAGGATCGATTTATTAAGGAGGGGAACCTGGCAATATTAATCAGATCCAAAGATTTTAAACAGACTTATAATGAGAGTTCGTAGAGGACAATGAACAAGTTACAAATGAAACATGAATTTGGAGATGTCTTTTGAAACTCTGCTTTAAAATTGCTGCAGTCCTAAATATATATATATATATATATATATAAAATATATATATATATAATATATATATAAAAAAAAAAATGTAAATAAAAAAAGTTGCTGCAGTCCCAAGCACTATTTCCCTAGATAGCTGCAGACTTAAGAGTTCATTGGTCGATTTTCCTATTTATCCCCAGATGGTCTCCAGACATTGGATCTTCTGCACCTATAATGGCTTTTCTCTAGTATCTTGAGAACACGTAATTCCCAGAGGGACACCCCACAGTGACGTTTAAAGTCTTAGTTAAGACCTCCACTTCCAGACATACTTAGAAATTGGGGAAGATGCCCAGTAAATAAGTAACAGAAGTAAAATAATCCAGGAAAGGTTGACTTCCTATGACTTTTAAATAACGGATTGAAATGTGGCTATTTGAACGCGTAAAATCTGGCTCCTACTTACAGAGAAAGCCATGTTCTTACAGCAGACCAGCCTGGGTAAAATGTGCGTTTTTGACATGAGAGAGGGAAAGGAAGTTCTCTTCGTCACCTCCAGGGGGTAGATGGGATCAGTGAGGAGGGAACCTTCTGAGCTCTCCTACGTGGGCATGTAGGCATTCAAATAAACCTACCCCCAACGAGGAGGCAAGGTCTGCATTATGTAAAGGTCACTGTGCCCAGCAGTGGGAGCGTGAGACAGTACAGGCGAGCTTCCCTCAGCAGGAACTGTGCTCCTCCGGGGAGAAGAGCCATCTCTCCATACGTAGATAGAGATGTGTTGGGCTATAAATAGCCAGCTATGAAGTACCCAATCCAGAACTAACACTTCGTAACAGGCTTAGCTTTCCGATGGATAAAATGGAAGTTTGGTTTACAGACACAATAGATCTTCTTTCCGACTGGAATAGAGCCACAGATACCACTTGTCATCTTTCTTCTTACATTTCCTTTCCATTTAAAAATTATTTATTTATTTTATCTTTTAATTTAAATTCAATTAATTAACATAAAGTGTATTATAGTTTCAGGGGTAGAGGTCAGTGATTCATCAGTTGCATACAACACCCAGCGCTCATTCCATCCCCTGTCCTCCATAATGTCCATCACCCAGTGACCCCATCCCCCCCTACCTCCCCTCCAGCAACCCTCAGTTTGTTTCCTATGCTTAAGAGTCTCTCATGGTTTCTTATGAGAAGGCAGCTTTTCTGGCTCCTTGGGGCCCGTGGCTTCATTTTGTTTGATGCATTCTCGAACTCCGCTGCATCACATTCATACTGTGGGCAACATTCCTGAGGCTCTGCTCTTGGAGCTGGTCATGCGGGGCAGAGGCTACGACCCTCAGCTGGAAGGCTGTCCGGCTGGGACACTGAACCTTACGGGGCTCCCACTCTTTGGGATGAAGCTTTGCATGCCTCAGACGGGCGGTTCCCATGATCTGGTGCAGACATAGGAAGAAGCATAAGCTCCTGTGACCTGCTTTAAGGGTCTGCAAAGTTCATGAGTTTACTTTACCAATTTACTTATTTATTTTAAATTTTATTTTATCATGTTACATTAATCACCATACAGTACATCATTAGTTATTGATATAGTGTTCCACGATCCATTGTTTTCATATAACACCCAGTGCTCCATGCAGTACGTGCCCTCCTTAATACCCATCACCGGGCTAACCCATCCCCCCACCCCCCTCTCCTCTAGAACCCTCAGTTTGTTTCCCGGAGTCCATCGTCTCTCATGGTTCATCTCTCCCTCCGATTTCCCCCCCTTCATTTTTCCCTTCCTTCTCCTAATGTCCTCCAGGCTATTCCTTATGTTCCACAAATAAGTGAAACCATATGATAACTGACTTTCTCTGCTTGACTGATTTCACTTAGCATAATCCCCTCCAGTCCCATCCATGTCGATGCAAAAGTTGGGTATTCATCCTTTCTGATGGCTGAGTAATATTCCATTGTGTATATGGACCACATCTTCTTTATCCATTCACCTGTTGAAGGGCATCTCGGCTCTTTCCACAGTTTGGCTATTGCGGACATTGCTGCTATGAACATCGGGGTGCATATGGCCCTTCTTTTCACTGCATCTGTGTCTTTGGGGTAAATACCCAGTAGTGCAATTGCTGGGTCACAGGGTAGCTTTAGTTTTAATTTTTTGAGGCACCTCCACGCTGTTTTCCAAAGTGGCTGTACCAACTTGCATTCCCACCAACAGTGTAAGAGGGTTCCCCTTTCTCCACAACCTCTCCAACATTCGTTGTTTCCTGTTTCATTAATTTCTGCCATTCTAACTGATGTAAGGTGGTATCCCATTGTGGTTTTGACTTGTATTTCCCTGATGGCTAGTGATGTTGAGCATTTTTCATGTATCTGTTAGCCATAACAAATGCCTTTTCTAATTAAAAAAAAATCCTTAGAAAAAGAGATTTTCTGATGCTTTCAAGCAACCCATTTCTGGGTTCAAGCACGTGCCGTTAGGAGGTTCTTCCTGTCGCTGCCCTTATTCTTTTCCTCACGGAGGCCCGTCTGTTTCCTTTAGTGCTGTGTTAGCTAGAAAAGAACTAGTAAATGCCATTATGTCTTATTGGAAAAGGAACACTCCTTTGTTGGTTAAAAAAAAAAAATCGCTCCTCTGCTATTTTATGTTTTTTGCTCAGTTTTTCTAATCAGTTTAATCTTTATGTCATCCTCAAAGGTTTTAATTACCGTCAGTGCTCTTCTCTTCATATCATCCAACTTTTCCAGCCGTTCTTGCATTGGTCCCTTGAGAAGTGCACAGTGTGTTCTGGAGAAGGCCGGAGCAGGCTTCTGCAGACCACAGCCAGACGGGGTTCCTTCTGCTAATTCCATGTCCAGGCACTCAGGGCACCGTGGCTTTGAGCCGCTGCCTTGAAGGAATCTTGCGCTCTGACTGGTGTGGTGCTCATTACACGTGTGCATTCTCTCGAGCTCTGTCATCTTGGGGATTCTGAAAATTCCAAATACAGTTCCTGTTTCAATGACTTAGAGAAGAACCTCCTGGCGGCCTGTGGAGGTTGTGGTGGATAGAACAAAAGGCAGGATTTGCAATTGGGGGACGGAGGCCTGGGCCTCTGTCCCGCCACCCATAGCCAGGGATCCTGGGAAAGCTTGCAGCTTTCTGAGCCCCATCTTCACCCCATACGGATGTGACTCGTGAGAGCAGGGCTCCAGAGACGCATTATGCTAGCAAAGCAGAGGCTCCAGCAGTGTCTGTCACTCAGCGGCATCTGGTCCGTGGGGAATATACCCCTGGTGACGCATGTGGAGCTGCCTCTCGTGTTGGCTTTCTTTTCTTTCTTTTTCTTTTTCTTTTTCTTTTTCTTTCTTTCTTTCTTTTTCTTTCTTTCTTTCTTTCTTTCTTTCTTTCTTTCTTTCTTTCTTTCTTTCAAGATTTTATTTATTCATGAGAGACGGAGAGAGAGACAGAGACACAGACAGAGAGACAGAGAGAGAGAGACAGA